GAGCTCCAGGGTCTCTGTGGTGGCTGATATTTGGTGCCCTTAACTCTCCAGTCGAAACTGTTGCACTCCCTCAAGCTAAACAATTGCTGGGAACCTTAGCTTTATACGTCATTTTCTCTGTGTGCCTATGTAGAAACAGCGTTGAGTTGCTCTTGTTGCCACGGGAACACCTCCACCTCCTCATTATCCACAGAGGCTACAGATTATATTAACCAGGAGGCAGAGGTATAGAAAGGATGGGGTAGTCACCTACTCTGCAGAAAATTGCAATTGTTCTGTGAGTCTCACCTCTGTAGCTATACATCTCTCTGAACACTGCTTCCTACTTCTCTTTTCTTTTGCCTCCATCCCCTCAATAGCATTAATAAAAGAAAAAATTTACAATCCTATTCTTCCTGCCCTCTTTCAGTTCTGTTGCAGACATGACGTAGAACATAACCACCAGCCTCTTCCCTCACTCTGTTCTGCCCTCCCATACCTACGTGTAAAGATGACTTTCATCCTTCAAGGTCTGTGATTCCCCATGTGCAACATACTGGTGTTTGTTGTTACTTATCCAGATAAGCTTCTAGAAATTTATATAGATGCCTCATTTCTAAATGATATAAACCATCAGGGAATGAACCTGATTGTAGCAAGTAACTTCATCTTATATGATTCTCAATAGATAAGATGGGAGGAGGATCTCTTACGAGGACAGTTTTCTGACCTATTCCTTGACATGCAGGTGACAGCGGAGCGATGTTGTTTGAACATTACTCTGTTGTGATATAATTTATTGTCCAAGCTAGGAAACTCTGGTAGCGAACGATGGTGCTGTAGATCAATACGCTTGACAACAGGTGCAAATTAGGACTATGCCAAGCAAACCAATATTGTCACCTAGTATGTAAATATGGGCAGTGTACAGGCATGGTAGTACCTCAAAAAATGCAGGGGAAGGGAGAGCATCTGTGCAATTAAAATTTACTATTGCGGAATTTAAAATCGGATCAGCCAGAGAAGCTCCATTTTTGCTTATCCTTCTGTTTCATGTAAACTTAGTCCATGTGAGTCCAGTCTTAAAAGTAAAGTAGTGGTTGCCCCTCCCTGGTGGCGCAGCGGGTTAAAGCACAGCACTGAGAAGCTAAAGCCACTTCCGCATGAGTTCGATTCCCGCCTGCCCCGGGAGGTGACCACATGGTGTGGCAGACCTCTCCTGACCCGCCTGCTGTTCTCCTCAGCAATGCACTTCGTCGATCTGCCTGTTCTGTTCCCCACTCTGTCTCTGGTGAAGCCTCTCACCGCCCCTGAGCCTCTGGCCTGTACGCCAGTTCTCTATGCACAAATAAATAAATCTTTAAAAAAATAAAAAAGTAAAGTGGTGGCAGTAACAACTGAAAACAAGCAAATCACAAAGGAAAGGAAAAGAGACTGGATTGAAGGTACCTGGGAGATGTCATAGAGCCCTCTTGACTCTATTAAAAACTCATGTAGGGGTTAGTTGCTTTTCTTGGGAAAGGGCCAGAGAGTAGAACGTTTGCCTTTGTGAGGCATATAGTCTCTGTGGCCAGTACTCCACCACTGCAGTGGAAGGGGCACTCGTGGAACATGCGTGGAATGGGCGTGGCTGTGAGGTCAGGTGGGGACACAGATTGGGCACATTAGCTGCCTTCCTTCCCCCTGCTCTTTTTTTTTTTTTTAAAGATTTTATTTATTTATTCATATAGAACTGGGGTACAGGCCAGAGATGCAGAGGGTGAGAGGCTTCACCAGAGACAGAGAGGGGAGCAGAACAGGCAGATCAACGAAGTACACTGCTGAGGGGAGCAGCGGGCGGGTCAGGAGAGGTCTGCCACGCCATGTGGTCACCTCCAGGGCAGGCGGGAATCGAACTCGTGCGGAAGTGGCTTAAGCTTTATAGTGCAGTGCTTTAACCCGCTGCGCCACCAGGGAGGGCCTTTAGCTACCTGTTTTAATATCTAGAACTTTGGAGAGTTCTCTTAGATAATAATTTTGATGTCTCCAGTCTTGTTGTGACTGGTTGGGGTTATGGCTGATGGGGCCAGTGGAGAAGAGAGGGTCTCACTTTTTCATGCATGTTTTTGATGTGCATGTCCCAGTCCTTGAAGGTCTATGGACAGGAGGGTGGAGAGGGCAGACAGCTGGGGATACCCTGGACAGGAGAGGCCCCAGGGTTCATTTTAGAAGGAGGGCTGCTGGGCTGTAGACACAGGGAATGGAACTAAAGGTCATTCAGTTTTTTCTATAATTTTTTTTTAAAAGTCATAGTTTAGTTTCTAATTAGATTTGGGAGAGAGAGCTGAACTGCAAGTACCTGAGGGAAATAAAGTCTTGGGTCTGTGCCTCTACTTGGAAAAATTTGACTCGAAAATAAGGTAAAAGATATTAAAATCACTTTGATCTAGTTTGGTGCTTATCATGGAGAATTGGATAAAAGTTGTAGAAGAAGGTTCCAAAATGTTCCTTAGGAGTTTATTTTAAAATTTTTATAGAGTTACATTTAAAATGTTTCCCTTTAGGCTGAAAGCACATAACCTAACAATGCAGGCAAATGGCAGCAAATGTGTAAATGAGATAAAGATAATTAAAAAAATTGTATACAAAGGAGTAGGAGGAACCATACCAGTTACAGCTCACGATGTGACGGATATAACATGATGTCCACACACCTTTGTGCAGTCTGGTGACAAGATGCCTTTACTGCAGACTAAGAGTGTGCTGAGCAATCCCAGGGCAGCACTGGTATTTAGTTTCAGTTAACTAACAAGGCACAGGGAGGCATTAAACAATAGCACAGGTAGCACCACAAACAAGGAAAAGGCTCAGAAGACAACAGTTCCATCTGAGCTGTTCAGAAAAACATAGGGGATGACTGACACAGTAATTTGATAAAAATGTCAAAGCTAATTAGTAAGTGAACAATCATTATTGGGACATCAGTAGCTATGAACAGAATATCCGTTATGATCTTCCAGTTTATTTAGGGAGGTGTTTTATTTATCCAGAGGAAAAACTTGGGCCAACTGATGAAGCAAGACACAACACAAATGAATATTCCCTTGCAGGTGTGACTGATAAAGACATGAAAGTCCCAGATTGGGATGCTGAGCAGAGAAGAACACAGCCTGCATGGCCAACACTGTCACTCACTCAGCAGGTAGAGGGTCGTGAGTAATGGACAGGTGCAAAGGAGACAGGGGGCAGAAAACACCCCCAGCCAGGAAAAGGAGGCTGGGTTTGAACCTGGTGCTAGAAAGCCCCTGGAGGTCCTAGAATGAAGAGGTGACAGACAGACATCTGTAGATGATCTGTCAGGTACTAAACAAAATTACAGCAAATATTATCTGCGTGGAGTTTCTGTTTAATGTTTTATATATTTTTCCAGATTTTTAAACTTACTAAATTAAAATAAACATGTCATAAGAAACATTCAAGTGTCACAGACGCCTATGATGTGGATGATTAAATATCCCATAATTTCTCCTGCAAAGATAATGACCACTAGCAATTAATGTTGCTAATTAACACTATGATAAATGAAAGAAAGTAGTATCATTAGGAACCTGGGAATTATAAAGAGAATTATCTACCATTTTCCTACTCATGCCTTGTATTAGAAATGCGATATACTCTCGTCATTTGAAAGAGGCTTTTTGGTTATTTCTCCCCCTGACATTCAGTGTGAGGTGCCATTGGAAAGTCTTTTCTTTATGAGACAGAAAAGTGAATCCCTTGCTCTTCCCCATCCTGGTGGAGCCTTGCAACTAGAAATCCATATAGTCTAGAGATAGTCAAGAGTAACTTCCCTGGGCAGCTGAAAAAAGCCTGCCTCAGGTATCTGCAGTGACCCTGTCAGAGCCCCCTCAGGCTATATTCAGCACTGTACTGCTCTGTGAGTGGCCGAGCTGCCGTCCAGAAAGCATTTTGGGCAGTCAGGGTGGGAGAGGTATCCCTAGTATGGAAAGAGTTATTCCACGTCTTTTTGTCCCTGAAAAAGCTGAGGAAACAGATACTTAACATTGATAGGGGAGGTTAACAAGCCAGGAGAAATACAAACATGTCCCTCTCCTACTGGCCTTCTGAGGATCTAAGGATCAGAAATAGCAAGCTCTAATTTCTCCTTATAATTTTCAGAGGTTGAAGTAAATTAAATTACCTCTTTAGCTGAACTTGTTTATGCCAAAGGAAAGTAATACTCTGTGGGTGCAACCCAGCACTTTGAAATTTATAGATGGAGAGTGATAGGAGAACCAAACACTGAAAACCTTGGAGCAAATTTTGAAATTTATCCTTTTTCTCCCCTGTTCCTCCTAGTACAAAGTGAAGGATGGCTTTGACAGTTGAAAGATAGGAAAGCTGAAGGGTGGCTCATCAGTGCCTTGAATTTCCAAAGAAAGTTGAGATTAACAGAATTAGGCATCAGAGGTTGAGCAAAGCTTTGAATAAGGGGCAGTACATGCAAGAGAAAAGTAGAAATAAACCAATTTCCTTGATAGTTACAATGGAAGAAGTGACTAGTGTAGATTCAAAGGACTTGGCTATGGGAAGAGTTTTACCAGTGTTGCTAGAGAGGACCTTATGGATTTAGATGAGACAAAGGTATGAGAACTAGATAGCAGCGAATTTACTAAGGGAAACCATTGACAAGGTATCCCTATGGGGTTTTCAAAAGAAAAGAGAATCTCAGCCTGTCCAGTCCTTGGAGTGAGAAAAGAGTATCTTCGTTGTCTAGGACTTTATGGTTTTTAAGATTTACATATTTCAAGCCAGCATCATCTCCTTCCTCTTCACTAAAGCTCTGAGAGGTAGGGTAGAGTCAAGATTCCTTCACTAGGGAGTGCAGAAGCCTAAAGACAAAGGGTTAGGTTCCAGTTGGGAGGGGAGAGGAAAAGGAAGGAAGGCAGACTTTGAGGGTTTTGAAGTTCTGAGGGAAGTGAGAATTTTTTTCATTTTGAAAGAAAACGTTTGTTCCTTTCCAGGTACACTTGATTACTCACTGTTAAGTAGGCGGAAGTCAATGAATGGGTAGGAGCCGCGGCGTTCAGCAGGAACCCCTGTCTGACCCCTTAGTCGTACATCTCCTAGAAAACAGCAAATCCAAACAAGTGTTTGAAAACATTGCTAAGTGTATTCGCTTTTCCTCTGTAAATCTTCTTAACCACTTATGTCACTGGAATGTCAGGAGAAAAAGGGTTTCCATTCACTTAGCTCAAGAGAGCGCTATGTGAGAAAGGATCTGTAATGAATGTGGCGTGTACGAACTTGGAAATACTCGAACAAATGAAATAGCCCCTTCATATTCGTCTGCAAAATGAGCCCATGAAAATTTTAGTAATTTGAAAGTTTCCATAGTCTTTTTATGCTTTCCCAGGGCCAATTAGAAGCAACTTGCTTCAAATGAAGCAACTTAATGTGGAAGGACAAATGGTGTGCTAAGATGTTCACTTTCATTCTTGGTGGAATTTTTCATCAACCACAGTGTTATTTTTCTTGGTTGCAGTACAACCGATTCTTGATTGGTTTCCATCTTCCTTGTGGTCAGGTTATAACACTGGTCTGCTCCCAAATCTGCTCAGATGACTGTGAGCCTCATTCTGGGTACTCGACACTCAGCGTCCTAGAGCCATGATGGTCTGTAGACTTTCTAATGCTTATTTGTAGGCTTCATTTAATGTCTGTGTTTACTCTCCTTTCTGGCATATATCTTGGCTTCCCAATCAAGAGAGGTAATAAAATAAAGTGGAAAGAGCATGGACTTTAGCATAAAGTAGACCTTGGATAAACCTGCCTCACTTCAAATCTAAAATAACATTCTTGCTGTCTGGCTGTAAGTGCTGGTTTGACTTCCTTCTACACTTCTGCAAAACAGGGGTCATGGGTATTAAGTGTTTTCCATTTCTCCATCCTGCTCTGTGTGTTGTCTGATACTTGGCCAACTCTAAGTGAATATCCTCTGTTGACAAGAACTGACATAAAGACCAAATCTGTCAATTATAGGTATAATGTGGATTCAGAGGAAAGGTAACAATTCACGACACCTGATATATTTCTGGAAGGATTGAATCAGGGAAGGCTTCAATTCTAGAAATAATATGTCTGTTCCCATAAAACATGATTTCCCAGAAATAAGGTGGCAATGGGACATCAGCCTATGAGGGGAGAGGAAGAAGTGATTCCTTTTCTCCCTTCCTACCTGCTGGAATTCTCCAGGGTCAGGGTGAGATCCTCCCCAGCTGCAACAGTGTTGACAGTGTTTAAAATATCCCTCACAAATGGGACTTGAGTGTACTTGGGCTTATAATCTGCCAGCAGGGAGCCCTTAGGCTAGTTTTGCTTTGGATTTTTCATTGGGTGCATATTTAATATTTAGTGTACCCTGATATAGTACCCACCATAATGGTATAGAATAATTTTACAATTTATGAAATATAATGAAGTGGGAGGAAGAGAAAAAGAGAAGTACATTTAAAAATATGAATATAACTTGACATCAAAAAAGGGAATGCTGTTAGCATTTGATAAACTGAAGGAGAGTGAATAGTTAGATTAAGTCACTGGGAAGAATGGAAGGGTTTTTCTCTCTTCTGTTGTGTTTAATACCCTATGCTTATAATGTTCACAGAAATCACAAAACACTTCAGCAAAAACCCTCATTTCTCATGAATGTCTCAGACCTACAGTCTGCTTTCAAGGGTCAGTCCTAGTTTGTCTTGTGTGGTCCTTTTTTTTGTTCCTTTAGAGTCTATATGTAAGTAAAATAATCTGTTATTTATTTCTCTCCTTCTGGCTCACTTTGCTTAGAATAATCCCTTCCAGTTCCATCCACGTTTCCACAAATGGCATGACTTTATCTTTTTGATTGCTGAGTAGTGTTCCATTGGCCATATGTACTATATCTTCTTGTTTCACTATTCTGTTTTGGGCACTCATATCTTGGCTATTGTAAATAGTGCTGCTATAAACAGGAGTACAATTTTCCTTCTCACAATTTTCTTGTTAGGAGAGTCACTATTCTTGCTTTTCAGGGAGGAAAGTAGAGTTTAATAGAAGAAAGGACTGCTATTCACTTTCTTAGGCACCAGATTAGGACTCAGGCCTCTCTCTCTCTCTCTTTTTAAGATTTATTTATTTATGAATACAGAACTGGGGTACAGGCCAGAGGTGCAGGGATGGTGAGAGGATTCACCAGAGACAGAGTGGGGAGCAGAACAGGCAGATTAATGAAGTACACTGCTGAGGGGAGAAGCGGGCAGGTCAAGAGAGGTCTACCTCGCCATGTGGGTCACTTCTGGGTTGGGGAAATCGAACTCATGATGAAGTGGCTTTACTATCTTAGTGCTGTGCTTTAACCTGCTGCGTCACCAGGGAGGGCCCAGAACTCAGGTCTGTTTAAGACCCTCTTGTAGATAAGCTATTGACTTAAGTTGACTGCCTGAGTCTATGGTGTTCAAACTTATAGTTATCAGGGCTAGTTCTTAAATGTAGCCTGTTAAACTCAGGGGCAGAGTTCTCTCCTCATTTGGTTTTTAGCCTAAGAAGTGTGCACATCTTTCTTTCTAAGTGAAAAAAACAAAACAAAACAAAAACAAAAACACAAACCCCACATGACAGAAATTGTACTTTTAGAAGCCATTTAGAAAATACAGCATGCTAAAATAATATAACAAATCCGGGCCCTCCCTGGTGGTGCAGCGGGTTAAAGCACTGCACTAAGAAGCTAAAGCCACTTCCGCATGAGTTCGATCACTGCCTGCCCCGGAGGTGACACATGGCGAGGCAGACCTCTCCTGACCCACCCGCTGCTCCCCTTAGCAGTGTACTTCGTCTATCTGCCTGTTCTGCTCCCCACTCTGTCTCTGGTGAATCCTCTCACCCTCCGCATCTCTGGCCTGTATCCCAGTTCTGTATGAATAAATAAATCTTAAAAAAAATAATATAACAAATCCAGTGCTGTTCTAAATGAATTTATATTTTATACTTGGTGGTAAGATAGATATATCCTTGGAAATCTATGATAGTTAAAACTGCATTCATTTGGTCTACAAAAACTATAGAATGGGCCCTCCCTGGTGGTGCAGCAGGCTAAAGCACAGCACTAAAAAGCTAAAGCCACTTCAGTAAGAGTTCAATCCCCTGCCCGGGAGGTGATCCACATGGCAAGGCAGACCTCTCCTGACCCGCCTGTTGCTCCCCTCAGCAGTGTACTTCCTTAGTCTGCCTGGTCTGCTCCACACTCTGTCTCTGGTGAATCCACCACTTCTGCACCTCTGGCTTGTACCCCAGTTCTCTATGCAAAAGTAAATAAATCTTTAAAAAAAAAAAGCTGTAGATTTCTGGATTTGTTGATCTGTTGTCTCATCCCCTTGGGCTTCTGCTGGGGTTTCAAGCTCACCAAATGAAAATCACTTCTCCATCAGTATTTCTGCCTCAGTATTACCAAAGAATTCCTTTTGACTTTGTAGTTCTGAGGCCAACCTGTCCCCACAATACTTCTGTATAATATCAATATAGGTATTTTAAAGCCTCCACCAGAATTTGTTCTGTTTTTCCACCTGACCGTCTAAGGCAAAGAGACCCATCAATATGAGAATACAGGTTTAGAGAAAATGGGAGGTGACTGGACCCACTGGCATGATGGGTTGAGAGGTGGCGATGCTGACTGAGGGGACTCCTGTTTCTGAAAGCATCAGCATTTCTCCCCCTGAGTGGGAATAGCCACATTCATAACTATTCTGAGTCCCAGTTTTCTAATATTTAAATTATTTAGCACAATTATAATAGTTTTGCTTACCTCACAGTTCATTGTGAGGAAATGATAAAGTATCAGATGATACCATGATGATTCTATTCATTGAATGTTTACAGCATGCTGAGCATTTTACATGCATTATCTCATATCATCTACCTGACCGTTCAATGAAATATTGTCATTATTAGACCATTTTACAGATGAGGGAAGCTGAAGTCAATGGACACTGTATGATTTGTATAAGTTCCTAGTTCTGCTAAGTGTAGTACCGTACTTAAACTCAGAACTGCAGAGACCACTTTCCTACCTTGTCAGGATAAAGCAACTGTATAAACAGTTAAATAGTAACTGTTTATTACCCAATGTATGCTATCATTACAATTTGCAATAAACCAAATAAACCAAATTCATCATGATTTCCAGAAATTGACTACTAGGAGAATCTACTCTCTTGAAGAATTTGAGATTCAGTTAGATGGGTGTTGTTTACCCCAGCAGCAGTCCAGGACAACTGGGCTGTCCTAGTGGGAAAGTCAGATCCCATTCCTCATCAACAAGGTATCTATTATTTCTACATAAGAAAATGAGATGCAACTATTAGAAATATTATTGGGCAGAACTAAAATTACCAGGCAACTAATTTACTCAAGCTCTTAATTAAGTAGAATTTTTATGATGCAATCCCACTTTTAGGAAAACAAGACAAATGCCAATGAAGTAAGTTGATAGCAAAGATACCTAAACAAACAAAATACATCAAGGCAATAACAATGACAACAAATTACAAAACTCAAACTTGAATGTTTCTGTTTTAATGCTTATCCTGTCTGTCCTTACCAAAGAGTCTTGGTCATGGATTACTTATAAAGCTAATGATGCCCTTTAAATGGAGTGAAAAATTATTTTAAAAAAGGATCCAGAATCCAGACATGTTAAAAGAACACTAGTAAGGCAGGAGGCAGGACAATGGTCAGTGAGCTCCCAATGCAGGTAGAAATCGTTCCGTGTGTAAAGTTAAATACAAACAAACCAGACAAATAGAAGCAAGCTAAATATTTTGTATCTTGAGTCTTGTATTTATTTGAAATGCTAATGTGGTTAAAGTAAATATTTTAAATATATATTTGTAAAGTAGAAAATTGTCACAAGTTCTCCCTGCTTTCACCCCTTCTGAGGTACTGAGCTCCAGGAAGAGAGAAATAATTCAGCAACAACGGTCCCCTGGGGAGCCGTGGCCACTGGGCTGATGTCCACAGACCAGAACGAGTGGCATCTGCTGAACTGCTTTTACTGGCCTGTGGCCCTGGGCAATCATTTATTTACCTAAGGCCT